GATATGGCAAATGACTTCCAACTAGCAGAAATAGACTTCACTTTATCATAAACTGAGTGATACTCATCAATACCTAAAAAGACTCTATCTAAATTTTAATTATAACCACAGACTCACTTAGTTCTTTATTACATACGCTACTAAAAAGATCCAGTGACGAGATTGTTGCCATCATGATCATGTAAAGGATCAAGTTTTGTCTAGTCACGGTCTATGATTTATAATCTGCGCGGTTAAAATATCTACTGACGTCAGCATTATTTATGCTGACTAGACTTATGTAATCATAGATATACAAACATGTATATCTATGATGTAATCAGGGATTTATTATACTAACGTACCGTGGTTAGTATATTATATCCCTGATGTAATGCATAATCATGCTATGCGACTAGCCAATTTCTGCTGAGGCAGTAGGCACTGCCCCCAAATTTCACCTTTTATGCTTTGAAATGACTCCAATTACGCTCATATTTTATGCTTTACTCAAGTATCAACTATCGAGTTACATGTACGTGCATGTATACGGTATCTATACCATGACATGACATTTAAACAACAACTACCAGTTGCAGATAATAAGACCATAGTTGACGTCATGATATGCATACAACATATCTAACAGCCAGTAAAGAATCAACCAAGTTACAGGCGGATCGCAACTGTCACGATCTCCTATTTTTTATTTGCGGAAAAAGTGGGCGTCTCCCTGGAAATAAACATGGTGGACTGTTGCTTACTGAGCTACTAAAATGAGCTCTTTTTCTTAATCTTGTAAAAGAATTTATGTATAGAACTTTTTAGAAGGACAAAAGACCTGTTTTAATGTTTCTAAAGGTGCTATAGCTTCATATAATGATTGGTGCGAGTGAATCAAGACTTTTGTTGAGTTTCACAAAGACGGTTGCCATAACTAAACACTGGACCACTCACTACAAGTAAGCCAGACACAACAATAAATGATATAGCATGGTAGAGTATAAAATTTGCCACAATCTAATGTCCTTTATGAGTGCATAGTGTTGCAAAAACGCATTTGGCCCACTATTTTGTCCAAAGAAAGTTGTCCTTGATAGAGGAATTAGTAGTAAAAAGTGTACTATTTGGAATGAAATGTCACTAAATATTTATATGCAGTATTATTTGACTTAAAAGCATTATAAAACAGTTGTTAGTGTG